GATCAGTGTGCTTACTGCAAAGCCATGGGTCATTGGAAATCTGAGTGCCCTAATCGCGGGCTGAAAGAGAAGGCAGAGCCGTTATTGACTTTGAATACAGACTAGGGGTGCCCCGGCTCAAAGTCCGTTGTGACTCTTGACCCCCTGGAGCCGAGGGTTACTCTCAGTGTTGGGGGTCAACCTGTCTCATTCCTAGTCGACTCTGGAGCTGCGGCATCAGTCCTGAAATCCCCACTGGGCTCCCTCTCATCATCCACTGTGCAGGTCCAGGGAGCTACTGGACGAAAACAGTCTGTACCCCTCACCACTTCTCGGGAAGTCCGGTTAGGGAAGGGCCTAGTCTCCCATTCTTTTCTAGTAATGACTGATTGCCCTTACCCCTTGCTTGGCCGAGATCTCCTACACAAGCTTCAGGCTATCACTTCCTTTAAGGGACCTAACCCCACTCTCGGGTTTAACCTGCCACAGCTTGTTCTCACCTGCCCGTTGTCAGAGGAGTCTCGCCTCCTCCCCCTAACGTTTTCCCCAGACCGCCCCTCGACCACCTCCACCCCTACTTCCCTAACTCTGTTGAACCATTTCAAAGGCTTGGTTCCTGGAGTCTGGGCTGAGACCAACCCGTTTGGTCTAGCAGGACACCAGCCCCCAGTGGTGGTCCAGCTCTTGTCCACAGCAACCCCTGCGCGTGTCCAACAATACCCGTTGACTCGAGCTGCCCTTTTGGGCATCAAGCCTCACATTGATCGACTCTTGGCGGCAGGCATTCTACGACCCTGCCAGAGCTCGTGGAACACCCCCCTACTTCCAGTTCGCAAGCCCGGGTCTGGAGACTTCCGTCCTGTCCAGGATCTGCGGGAAGTCAACGCCCGGGTGGAAACTGTACATCCTACTGTGCCAAACCCGTACACGTTGCTGTCATCCCTGGACCCTGCTCGGACTTGGTATACTGTTTTGGACCTGAAGGATGCTTTCTTTTCCATTCCCTTGGCACCAGTAAGCCAACCTATATTCGCTTTTACTTGGACAGATCCTAACACTGGGACATCCTCTCAGCTCACCTGGACCCGGCTTCCCCAAGGTTTTAAGAACTCCCCTACACTTTTTGGCTCAGCTCTGGCCTCCGACCTGGCCGCCTTCCGGGTCTCGTATCCGGAGGTCACTCTCCTCCAGTATGTTGATGACCTTTTGTTAGCTACTTCCTCTGAGGCAATATGCAAAGATGCAACTCTCCACCTTCTCCAGCTGCTTGAAGCTTCCGGCACCGTATCTCTGGAAAGAAAGCACAACTGTGCTCTCAATCCGTTGTTTACTTGGGTTTCACCCTTCGTTCTGGTCAAAGGTTACTGTCTCGGGGGCGTGTAGCTGCCATTTTGGGCATGCCCGCCCCAAGGGACCGCCGCGGGCTCCGGGAATTCCTGGGGATGGCTGGATACTGTCGCCTCTGGATCTTGGGGTTTGCCGAGGTTGCCAAACCCCTATATGAGGCCCTAACTGGTGACCCCACCCAATTTGTTTGGGGACCACGGCAGCAGGAAGCATTCGACAAGCTCCGAAAGGCGCTGTCCAGCACGCCTGCCCTCTCCCTGCCAGACCTGTCCAAGCCCTTCCGCCTCTATGTGTCTGAGTCTCGAGCTGTGGCCAAAGGGGTTCTGACCCAGCCCCTGGGGCCCTGGAATCGTCCTGTTGCCTATCTCTCCAAGCAGCTGGACCCTGTGGCTTCCGGGTGGCCCTCTTGCCTGCGAACTGTGGCGGCCGTTGCCGTCTTGGTTAGGGAAGCCGCAAAGCTCACTTTCGGGCAGCCTCTTGAGATTTCAGCATCACATCATCTGGAACAGCTTTTACATTCCCCGCCGACAAGATGGATCTCAAATTCACGCCTGACTCATTACCAATCCTTACTCCTAGATTCCGCGCGCATCTCTTTCGCTCCTCCGGTCACACTCAACCCGGCCACCCTGCTCCCTGACTCCCCTCCTTCCTCCCCTATACATGACTGCCTGGACACACTGGACTCCATCCACACGTCCCGCCCTGGACTTACTGATGTTCCTTTAACAAACCCAGACCTAGTGCTCTTCACGGACGACAGCAGTTTTGTTCAGGAGGGGATCCGTAGGGCGGGTGCAGCCGTGGTCACTCCGGTTGAGACCCTCTGGGAGACCGCTCTACCCCCTGGCACATCTGCTCAACGTGCTGAACTCATTGCCTTAACTCAAGCCCTTAGACTCTCTGCAGGGAGGCGAGTAAATATTTACACAGATAGCCACTATGCCTTTGCCACTGTTCATGTCCATGGATATGTATATCTCCAACGGGGACTGTTGACCTCGGCGGGAAAGGAGATTAGGAACAAGAGTCAGATCCAGGAACTGCTGGATGCTGTCTGGCTTCCCAAGGAGGTGGCGGTAATTCATGTTCCTGCTCACACCCGTAGAACTGACCCCCAGTCTCTAGGGAATGCGGCAGCGGATAGGGCTGCCCGAGCGGCTGCCTGCAAGCCCTTGATACCCGCTATGGTTGTGGAACCTGAGGGGATGCTGCCTGTCCAACCATCTTATCAATCCAGTGATCCGGATGGCACCCCTGAAAAGGGGGGATGGAGAAGACACCCAAATGGCTTGCTAATTCTGCCCAAGGCACTGTTGCTACCCCTATTGATGACTCTTCATAGCCTTACCCACTTAGGCGGAACCCGGCTTTATGACCTGGTGAGCCGACACTTCTACAGCCCTGGGATGAAGCAGGCGGCCGAGGAAGCCACAAGAAGATGCCTTGCATGTGCCAAAGTCAACCCACGATCACAATCAAGGATACCGACTGATAGACCACGAGGAACATTTCCTGGCGACCATTGGGAAGTAGACTTTACTGACATGGGAACTGGGTTGGGAGGGTACCGTTTTCTCCTTGTATTCGTGGACACATTTTCTGGATGGCCGGAAGCATTTCCAGTCAAAACTGAAACTGCAATCGTAGTGGCCAAAAAGCTGTTCTTTGAACTTATTCCTAGATTTGGCCTGCCGGCCTCGATAGGCTCTGACAACGGCCCAGCATTTGTATCTGCAACAATTCAAAGCCTATCAAAGATGCTGGGATTGAAATGGAAATTGCACTGTGCATATAGGCCTCAAAGTTCAGGGCAGGTAGAGAGGATGAATAGAACTCTAAAGGAACACATTGCTAAACTTAAAATAGAAACTGGTGATAGCTGGGTCAGTCTCCTTCCCTTCGCCCTCCTCTGGGCCCGGTGTACTCCCAATTCCTCAACCCTCTCTTTATCTCCATACGAGATCCTCTATGGAGCCCCTCCCCCTATTATTCCAAGAGTATCTGCAGCTATTCCAGCCCCAGATTTCACTAATCCGACTCTTCTTAAGTCCTTCCAGGCTTTGCGTGAGGTCCAGAATGCTGTGCGCTCAGTCCTAAAAGCTGCGGGGAAAGAACCAGACCCTGCAACTTCATCGGACGCCCTGACACCGGGAGACTGGGTCCTCACTCGCAAGCTTCCAGCTGGACCAGCCCTGGAACCACGGTGGACGGGCCCGTATCAAATTATCCTCTGCAACCCCTCTGCCATCAAGGTTGCCGGCCGCAAGGCATGGATACATCGGTCACACATCAAGAAGGCCCCAGAGCCCAACTCCACCGCCTGGACAGCAGAAGCAGTGTCCGACCTAAAGCTTCGACTCTCCAGAACTTGACTCTTCTTCTCTTTCTTTTTGCTTGTGAGATGACTTTGGGTGACCCCTATAGCCCTACCCCATCCAGGTGGATTCTCTCCCGAACTAACGATGGGACCACCGTCCAAGCTCTCACCAGTTACGGAGCCCCCACTTTCAGGTTTGACCTCTGTGCCCTCTTGGGACCAGGATGGAATCAAAACTGGGCTATGCGGGACCCTATCGCTGGGGGATGGGGATACTGCCCCACTATTCCCACCACTCCAACCACACCCGGGGTAGGGGAAGTGAGAATCAGAAGTATTGAATTCTATGTTTGTCCGGCCACGGGGAATCCTTCCTGTCAGGGTAGTAATCACTTTCACTGTGCAGAATGGGGTTGTGAGACTGTGGCCAGGTGGATTCCTAGGGGCGGCCGGGACCCCCTAATCACCCTGGAGAGACAAAGCCCCCTCCCCGCCTCCTGCTGGCCTGGGAAATGTAACCCTATGATTCTAACAGTCAAGCAGGACACTGATGACTCTTGGAATCTCGGACATTCTTGGGGTTTGAGGTTATACATGACTGGGTGGGATAATGGGGTCCTTTTTACCATTCAGAAAATCGCAGTTCCCACCCGTACACTCCCAATAGGACCGAATCCCATCCTTAACCCACAAGCCATGTTGACTCTCGCCCCACCATCTGTTAGGGACCTGGTACCAGAGGCTCCCAAAAATCCAGAGACCCTCACTAACCTAGGTTCCCCCATTTTTGATACACTCTCTGCTGTCCACTCATTCCTAAATTTGTCTGATCCAAACATAACCACCTCCTGTTGGCTGTGTCTGAATCCAGCCCCCCCCTATTTCGTAGGAATTGCTATCGACCTCAACATCACCTCTGTGGGAAAGTTGTCTTTAAGTGAGTCCAAACGACCCTCTGCCATACCTGCCCGCTGTAACCCAGACAAGCCTAGACTTACCCTAGACGATGTCCAGGGCAAAGGAATGTGTTTGCTCGGGCCTGACTACCCGCTGCG